AATGCTGAAAGTAGGGTTATACGAGTGGGGCTACATAAGCTACTTTTGCCCTAAAATCAAACATATTTCAAGCGAGCTCTGAGCAAAAATATTTCGAATGCTGGTTTCTGTGAGAAAAGGAAGATAAGGTTGTTACGGGTTTTTTAGAGAAAAGACAAGTTGGCTAGTCAAAATTTGCTTTTGATAAATTTCGGACGCAAATTTTTTCGAAGAGTAAACTAAGCAAAGTATTTTGAATATACAAAATATTTGTTATCACTGTCTTCTTATCAGTGTCTCGATAAATGATGGCCACCGGTATGGTCTAGATGCCTGCTGACAGGTGCCAACTCTGTCACGAAACATTGCAATTATGTGAAGAAATATAAGGAACATGTCAAATGGAAGTTGACAAAGGTGAAGGGAAACGACCTTAGGATGAGGTTACCGGAAGGAAAAGTAGAATAACTAGCACATAAGAGTTAAACTCTTTGGACGTTCCTACGAGATGGAGGCAGATTTTGAGGGAACAAGATCGTTCAGCCAAAATCTGACAAGTTCCGCCATATATGTTAATCCTCCGTTAATAAATATTACCGGACTTTTGCAAATGCAAAACCGGGCAAGCACTCCGAAAAGTCAGCGCGAAACAGATAATCGTTTTAATTTGACAAAGGATAATTGGATACTGCCAAAAATATGTGAATCTGCTCAACATTCGCATTTGCATAAATTCAGCTCGGCAAACGCTCTGTTACTCAGATAGTTTGCGATTATTTCCATGCCAATTTATATGCCAAACACATTGCGACCATAACGGATTGCCCAAGCAGCACCCTAAAATATCTCGTAGATAAAAACACTCTCCTCTTAAATTTGCTCTGATAACTTTATTTGCGGAATACACGCAAATCCAGTAAGCATGTTCAGTTAGACCAAAATAACCGGTCTAAAATTCTGTTTTAAAATTCGAAAGTTGTCAGTATGTAAACGTAGATTAATATCCGCTTAACAGCAGCACGAGTTGCCTACATACTTTTGGGACATAGCAGTTGGCTTTTTATAAGAATGAAAACAGAGATTAAAGGTGCCGGCAAACACAAGTAATACTAAGGGCTTCCCATCATCGGGCCGATCGGAGCGCGTCGCTCCCAAATATATTGCCAATAAAAGCGAACGGGCGAGTCCCATGAAGTAATTTAGGAAAATTACGTATGATGGCTGGGCCAAGACTTTAATTCATTTTTCACCGCAGTTATTAGCAGAAATGGATACTTCATGGAGAGGGAGTTGCAGTATTTACAGGATATAGTCACTATACTACTGCACACTTGGGACAATTGACGCTTCTTCTCTCGACGATAACCGCCCGCATATTCGCTAAATGCTTGATGACATGCATGTGGGTCATGACCTGTTGAACTGTCATCACACGTGGAAAAATTGGACGTGATGCTTGCTCAATCATTTGGTTCCCGCTTTTGGCGTTAGGCGACGCGTTGGCCTGTGTGTTCCCTAATTGGTGACCTTTTTGGCCAAATTCAGTCACAGCAACGAATATGCATTTGATAAGTCGTTGCACTTGGGGTCCGTGAACCATGATTCAAGTAATTAGCGACCCGCACAATTGTCACTTCTGGTGAGAATTTCAGCCAGATCAAATTTTATTCTGTGTTCGGGTCTCGTCGGAATAGCCACAACTTGTGAATTGGCGTCAGTGATCTCATATTTTTCTTCTAATTGCACTTTTATTTATGTAAAGACAGATACTCAGATGTAGTCTTTATCAAAACGAATGCACTTTTTTTCGAATTGTCTGATTCTTTAGGCACCGGTTGGAAGAATCTGGTGATTAGTCAAAATTAATTTATGATTCGTGAAATTTCTAAAAGCATGCTACCTCATTACGATCAACGGCCCGCTAAGCAATTCGCTCTGTCGAGGAAACGTCTTGAGGTTTCTAATCAAACGTCCTCCGTTGTACTGCAGTGTTTCCGAAAACTTGTTATTTCGATTTTGTTTGTGCCATTCTGTCACCATGTTTACATTTACGGCGTCACATATGCGTTGAGATCTCGGTTTCATTTCCCCATCTTTTCGCGTCTAAGTGAAAATACAAAGTCCACAAGAGCGAAAGTGAGTGCGAGGACATTGATTTCCTACGCCACATATGCGCTCAGATCTCACTTGACTAATACAACACTCATGACATTTCGACTATCGGTATCCATGGCTTCCACCGGTGCAGCCACGAAGAAGGCAAAGCGGCGGTGACCTGCGCTTGAATTAGTTCCTAGTGAGGTTGCTTCGCGCAGCATCTATGCCAAACTTTTCTCTCCCACCCGACAGCTCGCAGGACGAAACAGCCAGAGGATAAATCAGGGGATTTGGGTGGCGAAAATGGCCGACAACGATTAACAGCCGAAATGTGCGTTCCAAATATGATTTAAGGGAAGGATAGCCTAGACGCCTCCCCTCCCCTTCTCCATCCAGAAGAATATAAGAATAAGAAGATTCGATAATACAGGTTGGTCCGTAGGCCAAGTAATAGGTGCCATACTGAAAGCACGGGTACTAGTTTAAAATCTGGACACTCATTTTTTTCGTTACATGAAACAGTTGTATCGGATTTGATACATCATCAGCCCCCTCAGCGTTCTCTGTGTGTTAATTCGTGAACCTGGCGTCTACTCGTTTAAGAATATATGTTTTCGCTAGGTTCAAATGTATTTATAAATATCTGCGCTGAAACCTATCAGCTACTCCGGACTAATGACGTACTATTCTTGAGTTGCCAACAAGCATTCATTTGTACACCCTGCGTACAGTTTCGCATACTGATCTCACAGGTGTTAGCTAAGCTCCCAGATACGCGGACTGAGCCTGACAAGCTTTTTATCCAAGGGATTCCCTCCAGCATCACATAGTAATTGCATGCAGAAAACATGTAATTTCCTACTGGTGAGCCGAATCCCTCGTAGCTGTATCATGCGGTGACACAAGTGGGGTGAAACACGCATGTTTGGGCTTTGAAGTAGTATGTGACGAAAACTAATTACTTGTTTATAAACTACTGACCGCCAGTTGGCAAATCGCGAATACAACGCGGTTATTCCACGGCACCTTAGGGTTTCTAACACGGATGTTTGTCTTAACTGTCGGATCGAGCCATTCGCTGTTTCTTCAGAAGGATAAACTGCAGATTACCTTAGTTATTACCTCCGGAAGGAAACAAGACAAATGGTCCTGTGCTACCTTCGAGGGAAATTATGTTATTGTATGAGTTTTGGATTAGGTTAAGAACTCGAAAATATGCAGCCTCCCTGGCATTTATCACAAGACCAACTGAGGTGGCGTTCCTATCCCCGTGTTTCTTCGACAAGCAGTACAGTAGGAGGGCTAACTGATGAACTTCAAGGATTTTTACAAGAAAATTCCTGGTACGCGAAAATAGCCCAAGCCGCTTTTCCTAAATCCTAATGTGTAAGCGTTAAAATCCTAATGAAGAGGAAAACATATTGTTGTATATCATATAATATTATGTGATATAGTAAAAGTAGTTATTTTCAGAAAAAACGGAAAACTCCGAAAAAGTGAAAACTCGGTTCCACTAAAAAAACTTGAGTTTTAAATGTAGAGGTACTCTGCCGATGAAAAAAACCGAGTGAATAAGGCAGCACAAATAGAACTACTTTTTAAAATAGTGTGCTGGTGAAATTTTCTGGAGAAGAAGGCTTCAATATCGCGCCCAATGTAAAGTATACTAGAACCGGAACGCAAAGCGCATACAGGTCCACAAACATTTCCCGTCCTTCCTACTTTTCTCTTCACCTGCCGATACGCTGAACTCAATAAAGCAGATTTTCACTCGATTGTCCCCATTGGGACGTAAC